CTAGCACATTTGTAAGCCACGTTGCTCTCTTTGCTTCCCAACCAGAAGGGAAACGGTCGATAGTACCTGTGGTAATTTGGAAACCAATTATTATTAAGGCTGTCAAATCCTTGTAGGAGCTGCATATTACGAACAGTCGCAATAATAGTGACGTTTACGTTATTACGTTTGCGAAAGGACAGATGTCCAACTGCAGTCGCAAATCTACGAGGTTCGTTTTGCGGACAAGATAAATACAATCTCATTGCGTATTCGCTCGTGCCTCCCAAATTGATTGGCTGAAGCCTCGCAGCTGCGGGAACGTGAGTGAAAATTCAGTCGGCGAAATTTGCAATTAGAACGATCCCCTCACATCCACGTCAGTTGTTGGGGGATGTTTGCGAACCAAAGAAAAGCACGCTTGTCAGATCCTTCTTTGCCCGAACTAGCATTCAAGGAAAAAGTTGAGTTTGTATATGCTAATGTCCAATAAAACCGTAAATAGGAGAAGCCGTAATTTTTGCTTTTCCTGGCACTCATGGCAAAGGCTCCAGAGGCCATCAATTTGGGCAGCCTGATCTTTCTATGGGTGTCTCGCTTCACGGTCTAAATATGTTAACGTCTCTCGTACGGGGTTACTAGCCTTCTTTTCAAAGTGCATTCATATGAAAATCCAGAAATTGTGTGTCTAAAACTTGATCATTCTAGTGGGCCCTAAAAGTTCCACTTCTAATCCATGAATATAGTTGCATAGCTTCCACTCCCGAGAGCTTACACATCGGTGACATGTGACCACATAAAACATAATCTACAGCAGCCGCGAAACTTTTTGAAGAAGCCGTTTTGGGCGATTCTGATTAGCATAATCAATAATATGTCCCTCTTGGCATAACTGCTGCTCATATTTAAGAGCAGTATGCCCACGTCACGCTACTCTGGCGCCTAATGCTCACCTTTTCAGCCTAATGACGTCACAGCAATGAGGGGAGCTAATTACGAAGCGTTTGTAATTGCCTTTCCTTGAACGATCAACCGTAGCGTCACCTTATTACGCGCCCCTCATGTTAGGGCAGAATGGCACTGCGAGACATAGCGGTCTCATTAGCTTCATAAAAGACTCGAAACTAATGCTTCCGTTTACCTTGTATCACTTTATTCAGTGTGCGGTAATGTTAACATGTGGGAAGCCTTGATATCTATGCTTCTTCAAAAGCTCTCGAACTTTCTTAGTGATATTAGAAAAGAAATAATTCACACCAAATGCACGCAAATGCGAGCTACCTTCTTAACGATACAAGAAAGCTAAGGATTCACACTAAATGCGTGCGAATGCGAGCAAAAAAAAGCAAGATGCCTACCCTCAAATTTCAGTACGCTGACAAAGAAGCATTACCAAATATTCAACCTCCACAACTGCTCAACGAAGCCTCAGCTATGTTCATTATTTAGGTGAATTTGAAGGGCGATGCGCTGGTTACAGGTTAGGAGAACTCATTAGGTGCCATGAACCGCTTTTCTCTGTTGTCATACTACACGCGGAAACATGCTGCAGTTACAATCTTAAAAGTCGGAGCGTGCAAACACGTACTCCACAGACAAGTCGAGGCACTGCAAAGCCGTCTAGACATTTCTCCTTTATCCGGGTTTTCACGCTCTATACCTATGATCTGGCTCAGCCCTGTGTTACTATAAGCTGCTTTCAGCTTAGCCACTTTTATAATTTTCATTTACTCATGGAACCCTAAGAGTAAACCTCGTACATTGTAGAGGGGACGAGAAAATAGAGTATTAGAGCAAATAGAATAGAGAATGATTTTCAACAAGCTACCTACCACATAGCAGTAAATTAATTCAAACGTAGATCACACTTTATTGAACAGACAATAACAAGTAAATAGACAAAGTAATGTTCATCGATAAACATTTATTAGTGCTTGTATAAAGTACGAATGATTTATTTTAGTCGATTGGCGCATTCGTAAATGAAGTGTAGTGAATGGTGAATACTAGTGATGCAGGTAGATTATTCCGATCGATTGAAGTCCTATGATGAAATGATTGTGAACGTACTATGGTGTTATTCCTATATATGTGGTTGAGCGGTGATCTATAATAGGCATATATCTCCAAGCATGTGTCGAAGGGATGAAAATAAGTGATTGCAGAGAACCTACAATTAGGGAAAGTGTACACGGGTACACAAAAAAAAACACGAAGTTGGGAGAGAGAAAAAGTTAGTGCATATATCCAGTAGACTGATGGCTAATCCATTGAGGTGCTATGCTTCAGGTTGTGGGTTTGATTTCTGACGTGATGGCCTCATTTTGCTGAAGGCAGTAGTTTACAAAGTCCTTCTGTAATTTATTACAGTTTACTCCAAAAGCCTCAAATTGTCAAAATTAGGCTGCACGGACTGAACGAGGTAAGCTTCAAAGTTAAGGGATTATTTTGAGCAAAAAATAAGTTCTCACTTCGTCGCGCATGTTGACCGGAATTACTTTTTATTGCCAAGCTTCTACTTTCATGAAAATGCAGTCAAAAAATAGAATAAATAAGAATAGTATTTGACATTTTGTTAAGTGGCACAGCTACACTTTCATACTGCTTAGCGCTGTAAATACGTTGTATATGAAAGAAACGTTTCAAGGTATTTTTTTTTACTTTTTAGGTAATAAGGGGGGGGGGATCATATTGTAGAAAACAAATAGCTCATTACTAGTCTGACTAGACTTTTCTTTAATGAATTTTCGCTTACTGATGTAGCGGCCGAAAGCGTTAGCATTCGAGTACTTTAGCCAAAGTTGGTTCAAACACAGCCGTTTCTTTTGGGTACAGATTATCCCCTGCCACTAACGAAAATAAAAGAACCAGTACTAACCTACCCCACTTAAACGACCAGTACGAAGTTCTGGCGACACCTAGGCCGCGCTACTTGCAAATTACCCTTGTCCCTATGAATATTATGCGCCTAGTTTTTTTTTTTGTAATTTTACTGATAGCCTTAACTTCACATAGGATCTGTGACATATTCATTAAAACGAAACTTAGGCATGGATTAAGCCCATTCAGTCGTATAAATTTTGGGGCTATGTTTTTTTTATAGACAGCCCCTGCGAATAACCGAATATTGTACGTAAGTTATCCGCTCAAGTGGGTAGCTACATCAATTACGAAAGGCTCCATAATCCCGATCCATATTAAAATCACAGCAGCAAGCAAAATGCACCGCATTAAAAGCAATCTTTTATCATATAACAGTCTTCAAAAGCAAACAGCATTTTGATCTGTCTCGTGCATGAAAAATTACAAATGCGATACCTAATGTAATTTAGTAACTGGAATATACTCGAAAAAGAGAACTGGAAGAATGAAAGCTATTAAAAATATAGCACAAATTTTTTGAACAAATAAATCTGTTTTTCTTGCGTATAGAAATAAACTTCGGGCTAAAATATTGTTACATAAAGTTTTGTGCCAGGTAATTAGTACAGAGGCATTATTATCATATATGAGGCATCGGAAAATGGAGTATCCGTTCCGATAGGCGAAAATATTTAGTAAGCTTTGGAAGTAAAAAATTGTTTTCTTAGTGGGCGACTATCATAAGCTCAAAGAAAACTGCACTTAGGTATTTAAAGCACTCATAAAGCTCATATTCAAATATGCCGCTTCCATAAAATACCAACTCCACCAAATTTTACACGTCAACAGCGGATGACCTTTTAAGTGAAAAACACGTTTATTTCGCGCATCACCGCCATGATAGGAAGTTGTCATCGTTGTGTCAGCTGCACTTTGTGTGAAAAATACAGAGTAACCTCGGATGCATCTATATACTGTAACGTTCCTAAACAGGGACGCATTGTGTGGGTTGTGTATTGATAGCCTATGGGGTCATTCTTTGAGAACGTGACTATAACAAAGGCCGAGAATTTCCAAACAAAACATCATTAGATTGTAAGTTATAAATAAATATAATAAATTAAGTATATTGGTTGCTTGTTACTAGACTGATGCTCTTAGTTACTCGCATTGTAGCGCACACAAACAACCATATTTGCACTATTTCAGCGCGTCCCCGAATGGAGAGGACACATTACTTTACGTAAGCGAAATTCAAAACGATAATTTTTTGCCTGCTTTGCTTTTGAGCACGATTGTAGCACGCACATAAATTTGAGGGCTACATTTAGCAAAAAATATATATGTGCTAGAATCATGTAGATGTACTTTAACATTTTCAACGATTAGTTCGCGCTTTAAAGCAACAGCGCTGCTGCTACTCAACAAACTTGTGCGGAATTTTCCCATGCGTAAAGACTAAGAAAATAGCGGGGCTGTACATACCTTGACAATACGGTTGCAAAAGAAAAAAAACGTGGTGTGAACCATACATATGTTCATTTGAACATGGATGTTACTAGCGCAGTAGTGATAGCCACAACTTTTGCAATAAATGGGCTAAGAATCGTGAAACATTGCTGTAGCCACGTTTAATTATTGCCTGAGATTAGTGTAAACGGCTAAAAGTTTCAAATGCACTCCTATTTTTATTGCGCAATTAACGCTTCAAAGAAAGACTGTTTTCGTGATTGTGATAGTGTTGGATTTTACATGTGTGTGCAACGCATTACAATCCTGCGGCAACATTCTTCGTCTCCATTTATAGGTTCCAATTAAGGAAGTCATATCACCTAAACTTCGTGAATTCTTAAAAAACTTTGCCGAATTGGTGGTGCTGCTTACGTACAAGTAACATAAACGTCAATACCCAAGACACAAGGCCGAAAAAAAAACCGGAAAGCGGAAATTTTTTCTTCATCCTTCAATTGCCGTAGACGGAGCCATATATAAAGTGCGAATATCCTCCGCGACATCAAAGACGGCCGACCGCATAGAAGCAGAGCGATATGGAACCAGCTACGGGCGATTGACACAAAAGACGCCGCCTCTGCTACAGTGCCAAAGAATACAGAGCAACGGGAGCCGCATACATTTTTCGGACGTGCGCATTTGGAAACATGTCGGGCGACAAGCGACGCTGGTCAAGCAATTCTCGCCACACGGCGGGGAAAAAAAGCCGCAGAGACAACGCAGCGTAAGCATTCCTCCAGTAAACGCAACGCTATATAAAAGAAGAAGCTTAAAGAAAAGAGAGTGGCGCATACACGAAGATGCAGCACGTTAAGGATAAAAAAGCAAAGTCCTGTTGGAGAGGAGGAGCAAGAGGCAAAGAGGGATGCGTGTTATCGATCCGGAGATCCTTTCCTTGCGCGTGTGAGGAAAGGAGTGCTCGCGTGGGAGGACAAGAGGGTGGCTGGAGAAGAGAAGGTGGTTGCAAGGGGGAGGGAAGCTCCCCAGTTCCCCACATCCCGTATTTCCCTATCCCCTCCCTCCGGAGCGACGCGCTGGCTGCCGGCTCTCGACGTATCCCCCGCCGTTGACGCACACACAGTGCCGAAAGCTGGCCGCTGCGGACGCACCGCAAGAAGCGGCCGAGGCCCGTTTCCTCTCGTCGTTTTGAAGCCACCGCGGAAAAGTCCCCCGCGAAACGCGGCAGATACGCCGTAGTCGTCGACTGTGGCAAGCGCTGGCCGCATCTGCTGCTGCAGTCGGCTGTACGTGACGTGGTTTCTTCGGGATTCTCGATTGTCTTCGGTGAACCAACCGGGATCTGCATCCTCAAGGGATTGCGCCGCTTTCTCTGGGCGAGTGGGAGTCGCGTTGTTGCTGCGCTCGCTTCACAACAACGCGTGTCGGCGTTGACCTGACAGGTGAGCTTCGGAGTCGCCACGTTTTCTTCAAATGTGCGGAGGCGTTCGCTTGCATTACTCGGTGTTATTGAATTATTCTGGAAGGTGCCTCTCATCTTTCTTTACTGGATATATATGATGACAGAAGACTGCAACGAAGGCATGACACGATAAGCTCTTCGAATGAGGCAGATGCGTCTTTCTTTTGTTTGTTATCCGGTGTATCATTCTGTAGCGCTGTCATGTCTACAGCAAAGTGGTAGAGAAAACTAAAACCAAGTGCCACCTTTCCGCTGAAAGGCACGTATTCGATCTGATCGAAAGTCAAATAGTATGCAACCAGCAATTTTCGTTAAAGCAGCAAAAACAGTATCAATGCCCTCAACTGCAGCTATATCAATAATACATTCGCTTCAGAAAAATAGTGCAGTCATGTATGGCAAACGGACGTACCCTGATACGTGGGAATCGCCCTTGTGAGTCTCACTGTAAGTGCAAAGAGCTGTTTATTAAAGTTCCTGTTAAAAAAGAATTGTACCAAATGACACAATCAATGCATTTGGCTATTCCTAATTATATTTTATATTTTATGTCGACGATAGTTGTTAGCACATATATAAAAAATGTCCTTTATACCGACTCAAGTTAGGCGATAGATAGCACGTGCTTGTGTTCGTTACAAAATATGTTCATGTCGTACGCATTGGCGAATCCTGTCAGCAGGTTCATTGTTCATAACATTTCTCATTACACAAATAGATTCAATATTCTTGAAAGAATGACTATTCCTAGCGAATCTGCGTGCTCAAAAGAATGATAGTTTCAGACGGTATCAGTTTGCAAAAAAAAAAAAGGATCTGTTTTTATAGTAAGTTGAATCTCGCTGCATGAGCGGTGCGTGCAAGTAAACGACACGACAATGCAAGGACAACATTCAAGTGGGCCTCACTGCTGTTTTAAAGCCAATAAAATGTCGATAACCTATTGAACTTCACTGTGCCTGCAACGAGTGCTGGTTTTTCTCTTCAACAGCTGCTGCGGCTGTGAGAAAAGGGCCTAAGGTCGTTTATTGAGGAGACTCCTGGGAGCGTCGACAAGGGAGCTTCAAAAGGAAAAGAGCCACCTCAAGCGGGAAGATGATTTGGTTTATGTACTTCGGACGCCGACAGAGCTTCGGGCAGCGGAGGAGGAGATGGAGCTGGGTGTCTGGTTCGTACGACAAGTCTCCGCGGGAAGACACTTCGCCTCGCTACTACCGCAACCATCGGGCCGTGTTTTAGCCGCGACGCCATCGCCAAAAAGCATGCGGCTCGTTAGACGTAGCCAGGCAACTCTGGGAGACACGTTCTGGCGTTTAGAGTGCCACGAAGGACACAGTGTATTGGCAGGCAGGCCGCCCGGCAACTCTTAAGACTCCGCTGGGAACCACCTGCGCTTCGAGACGTGGAGGCACTACAGCCTCTCATGACTCAAAGTGAGAGAGACGGAGAAGCTAAACACGATAAGTAGTCAATCCTCAACCCTGTCTGTATGATTGCATTGTGTGTGTATGTGAAGCGCCAAACAATCCTTGGTTCATCGTCATCATTGCCAAAAAGACCAATCGTGATCTCCTCCGCCAAGAGTCACCGCCAAAGCTCAAGCGTTCGACTCGAGAGCACCTCTTTCAAATCGTGCCTTCGTTTTGTCGGCACGTAAAGTTCAAACTTCTTGTTTCTTTCGCTGGTGCGCATTGCTCAAGAAAACGGCGCACGCACGAAGAAGACGAAGCGCCAGCCAATACTTAGCATTTTTTCGAAGGCCCAGACTACTAAGGGCGGACAGTCGAAGCCTGCTACAAGTGGACATTGTTTACATCAGTACAAGCAGTTGTTCTGTTTAATTGCATTCACCAAGCGGGTGGTCCGATTTTTCAACCTTCGAGAAAAGACGACGTAACAACATCCAAAGCAAAGCAGATCAGAAGTCGATCAGCTGCTGCGGCAACTGTTTCTGGGTTGCACAAGGACAAACGATTGCTCTTCTTTGGGGATCGCTGACTAATGGACTGGAACGGTACTAGACGTCCCGACTGAGCAAAGAGAAAAACATCTGCACGAACAACCCATCGCGCTCTGGCTTTCCCTGGAGGAAAGGAGACGGCGCCAAGAAAATTCGCCTCACTGCTTCCCTCCAGGCATCGCGCAACAAAGCCATCGGGCTCAATGCTGAAGTCGATCTAGACAGCATCCATTCAATGCATCCAAAGCTCTTTAAAATTGTCGACGACAACTAGACGGCCCTTCTTGGTTGTTGAAGAGTTTTTCCCAACTGCTTCTCTTTTCATTTTTCTTCCAGTCTTCTTTTCTTTGCCCATTCAATGTAAAGGATCGATAGATTTCGAGCTGAACTGGCGTTTCGCTTAGTTCATTGTTCTCCCAAAAGAAGAGCTGGTTTGCTCTTCCCTCCCAACTTCGCGAGTCGTGCTTCTTGTTACTTTGGCCGGTTTCGTGCGAGACAGTGCGCGTGCGTGGTGTTAAGACTCGGAGTGTGCCGGCCGCGAGACGTCGGGTCTGCAGCACCCGAGCCAAGGCCGTCACGCTGTGGACTTTATACACGCTCCACCTGGTCTCGCAACCAGCTCGAGCAGCCGCAGCTGCCGCCCTCGCAGCGAGCCGAGACCCCACGGGAACAAACAACGCCGGTGGCAGCGGCGCACCGCCGACGCGACAGTCGATCCCACTACGCCAACTCACTCCGTACGACGTACCGTTCGTGCCCGTTCCCACACCGCCACCACGTCGTGCCACTAACACGCTGCCACATCGCGGCTGCCTAACGCTCAGCCACCGGCCGTACTCGACACTAAACCGCCACGCCACGTTCGCCGAACCCGTGGCAGAGATGGCTGGCACCAGCAGCAGCGCCGGCGGGAGTGGCAGCAGCGCAGGCGGCAGCGGCAGCAGTGTCCAGCCGCCGCGCACGCTGCCCCCGACGCCACGCTTCAAGAGCTTCAGTTCGTCTTGCCTGCACAGTCCGACGACCGAGCTGCACACGTACTCGGACGTGTCGCCCACGGACTTGGCGGCCACGCCCACGTGGCAGGATCGGCCGACGTCTCGCTTCGTGTTCTCCATCTCGCCGCCCAGGGCCTCCTCGTGCCTGGGCAACCAGAGCCGCAAGAGTACCGGCCCCTGTGCGCGTCGTCCGGCGACGGCGAACGTGCCAGGGGTGGCAGGGGTGTGCGTGGAGGAGGACTCGGCACAGCGACCAAGGAGGAAGAAGAGGAGGACGTTAGCCGGAAGGCGCGCTGGATCATCATTACCACCGCCGTGTCGCTCTTTGTGATGAGTGTGCTCCTCGTGGGCATCATGCTCCGGCTGGCACCCGTCATCGACGACCTCGGTGAGTAGCGACGAGCTATGAGTCTATATATGTCTGCCTACCGTATAAAAGCGGAGATCCTAACACTTACCACATCTCCCTCTTAATTTTAGTACTGGAGTGCTACTCATTCATTGGCTAATCGCGTTTCTCTTTTTTACTTATCATTTTTGATGACAAACTCCAATTTCCAACGACTATTGCCTTGTCCACCACTCTCTTGGCGTAGCATCAAACCTCACATTGACTTGAAGGATGTGAATGATTGTCCGTGAACTGCTATTTTACTGTAGGATTTTCAGTAAGAAATGAATTTATCCATTCACTTTGAAATTACGCATAACGTGACTTTGATAGACACATCCTATATAAAGTTGGTTGGATTTATAGAAATATCTGTTCACTGCACTGATTATCAGGTTAATACCGTTTGTTTAAATCATAATCAGTTTAGAATTCGTCCTTGGTTCACTGCACAGATGGTATAAGTGCATTTCCGGTCAGTAAGAGTGTTTGTTTCCATTTGATTGCAGCCACCAGATGTAGTAACTGCGAGTAAACACGAGCCAAAGATAACACCGCTCTCGTAATGAATGACTTTGTGACAATCGATATGTGGTTTCTTTTCCAACGCCCTGTGTGCAGCGGCGGCTACGCTAAGTACGACGGTGTGAATGCACATGCGAAAGTGATTACGAAGTGAAATAGTGCACTTGACTAAATTATTTTTACTTTGCCACGTGTAACTTTTTTTAAAGTATAAGCAACACAAATCTTCGAAAGATCATTATCATGCCTGTACAAAACATTGTCGTAAGTACAACATATTAAAACACTTCGTCCTAGAGAATGAACCGAAGAGTTCAGGTACAACTGTTTACAAATTTGTGCGGTAAGTACCTGCAAATTTCAAAGAAACGTCCTATACGCACAATGTGGAGTTCCTTAGAAACGTTGATGCTGTATAATATCAACCGCGAAGGCATCCCGGGAAAATATTGATCTGACAATACGCGTCCCATTTTAGTTTCTAGTACGTCGTAAATTTCGGTGCATAGCGCATCATAATATATGGAATTTGGCTGTGGTACTTTCGGCTTTGCACACATGTAACATTACAGGGCACCCGTCCTCGTGTTTTCATCGTTTTTTGTCCTGCATTTTTTTTTGCGCCGCTCTTAACTAGGAACCCGCACTAACTCGCCCAATTGTCAGTATCACATGGGTCTCTTCAGTTTGTTGATTATCTTTAGTTAATTCAAAAAGAACGTAAAATACAAAGACGAGAACGTAGTGGCCATCGGTGTGTTTGTATCCTCTTTCTTCCTTGTCCTTCGTAATCATTTAAGATTGCCTTGCAGCCTTGTGCTATCTTAAAAAGGCGGAAATTCCAACCGTTATGTGATGTATCACACGTGGTTTTCGTGCAGCATTCCTTCACGTCTAGAATGCGGAGCGTCATTTAAAATGTATCGTGTACCTAACCTGATTCATTACCTCTAAATACACATAGATATAAAGTGCCATAATTCGTGAAGACCTCATGCAATTCAAATCAAAGGCAGTATGGCCACCCTATCATCATAAACATGAAGGACCGAAGTAACTAAGCAGATGGGGGTCGCAAAAGTTTTCCAACCAGAGCTTCTTAAGACAGCGGTGGCAACGACGAAACAACGGAGATTATTCCAGTTTATAGTGGAAACCCGCTAGGGGTGCCACCGGTTCAGGAGAGCGCGATGGCGATGTCGCCTCACTGAACCGTGATGCGCCTGCTTCCGAGGTCCCGGAACAGGCGAGCGAGCTTTTCCCCGCGGCGACAGCATTTCGTATAAGATGCCGAGAAAGAGGCGCGCGGCGACAAATTATCCGCGTTGACAGAGGTGAAAATGAGGCGCTCGTGCTCTTGCGCTGAAGAAGACAGGCCGAGCGGGCGCCTTGGAAGCCAAAGTGCAGCCGCCCGAGAATAAGAAGCCAGCTTGCCGATTTCTTTTACTATCGTTTTTTTTTTCTGGGTAGAGGGGGGGGGGGGTGTTCCTGTAAGAACTGCGGGGTATTGTAATGTCACTTGGAGCTGTTTTCGTGGCTCTGACTTGAGAACCCGATTCCGGGACAATCTTCTGATTGCAAAATAACGAAAAGACGCGGCAGCCTGGCGACATCCGAAGAGCGTTTCACGCAGACGTGACCACGGAACGGTCTTCTTATTCGCTATGTAGTCGAACGAACGACGGGCAAAAGTGACGATGAAGCCTCTTCGAGAATCAGGCGCTGCAAGCTGTGCGTGCTGGAATGAAAGGAGCGAAGGATTGTTGCTGGAAGAGGGTTGGAGAAGGGGAAAAAGAGGACAGGGGCGCCACCCTAGGAGACAAATTGGGTTTTCGCACATCATCCCACAACACCGCTTGGGCGCCCGGTCAACGACACATTCCCGTGGTGCCGGCACTCGCCGAGGACACAACAGCGGTAATTCGCGTGATGCGAGCCTGGACAGCATCCATTTCGGAAAAAAAAGAGAGAGAAAGAAAAGTAGAAAAGAAGTAAACATCCTTTTCCGCTTCTTTCATATAGAATACTTACACAGAAAACAAGGAAACCAGCTTTTTTTTTTTTTCAGAAAACAAGTAGAAACGACACAGATGCGACGTACGAAGGAGCAAGGCGTGACTTTTGTTCAGCGAATACAGAAATTGCACCAAGCTCGCCCAGGAGGTGCTTGTGCTATTGAACTTCTGTTGTGTCTGCGTGTTCTTGTGCTTCTTTCTCTTAAAACGACACTTCATTTTTTCGAGAAAAATGTCGGCTGTCCCGGATACCCCTTGACGGTGCCAAGTCTAGATGCTTCTTGTAGGGGTGAGAAATTAATGACCCTAATTCGCGCGCCACCTCATCAATCACACGAGAAGCGTGGCCTTAAACCGCACTCGGGCGCGTCGGGCTAGGACTTAGTAGGTCACAGGGATTCTGTTACATTAACCAGAAACAAGATGTTCGAGTTGCAGCAAACTTTTCCCCGAGGATTCTTAGACACCGAGGAATCCCCCCCTCTTTTTTTTTTTTTTGTTACAGTGTCCTTCATACAATGCAAGTGTTTCGCAACGGTGCTTTCAACGATCATCGCCGTTCTCGACGCATTATCAAGAGCACAACTCATCATTACTAACCGTCAGCTAATGATTGACTTGAAAAGAAATTCTTGCTTTTTCTTTTTTTACGGTTCATCTCATCACAAAAGATCCCCATGATGCAGTTTATTTTCCTGTATGCAATTACCTAATTCATGAGTTAGCCAATTTTGAACGTCACCAAGACAATTTTACGATTTCCAAGAAGTCACAGGAACAAAACTGACGGAAATTTTATGTAGCATTTTGTAACAATGTTACACCAAATGCTAACTTGCAGTATTCATGGTGTTCTAACGAGACATCCGCCTTTCTTTTCTTTTTTTTTTCTTGTATGGTAGCACTTGTGAAAATATGTATTGCTCAGTCTTGAAGTGTTGGCCTACGGCCCTCATGGGTGAAAACGAAAAATAATTTCAATCGTACTCTTCCAATGTGTTCTATTACACGCTATTAGTCGCGATTACACGTATTTATAAACCACGCTCCCCCAAAGCATGTATCTTTCTATTCATTATTTCCTTTCTTTCCGGCTAAAGGTACATTTGCATGTTATTGCCAAGCCGCTACAAGATAACAATACTGTTATTTCTATATTGTGGGGTCTCAGCGAGGCGAACGAGCGCCAGTGTGGGGTCTCGGCGAGGCGAACGAGCGCCTCGCCACGCCACGCTCTTTGAGTGAACGGACACAGCAGACGCGGTCGGTACAAAGCACACAACATACATACATTTATTAACTAATTTAGACGACGATATCGTCCGCCGAATGTTACATCAATTTTAATTAACACGCTACCATACAAACAACATAACGCAGTGACACACTAAACACACAATAACATGATAAACACGCACTAACACACCCAACACACTAACACATACCCAAGGCGGCGTCGCCAACGCCTGACTTTCCACGTAGGACCCCGGCGCAAAGCCCGCGGTGCCGAGCACCGGGGACCCACGCTACAGACAACCGTTCGCGGCAGCCGCCACGCGCAGAAGAGGCTCGCTCAACTCTCGCCCACCACCAAGGCCTGCCTTCCGCCAGGGGCCACCGCCGGCGCTACCACTCTACCAACAGTGGTACTCAAAGCGAACACAACGCCATCTATCGCCCAGCGGTGGTCACCACCGAAACAAAGCCTTGGGGCGAGACACGTGCGCCACACGGCGCAGAACACTTTACAGGGGGGTGTCAGCAGTCCCACAATATCTAGGCAAGTTGATGCCTTCGCAAAACCGTGTCTCGCAAGAAAACGACCCATAACATGGTCTGCATTCGAGAACGTTGCACCAGGAATTTCTGCTTAACGCACATTTAGGTTGTGTTTTTTTAAATGTAAAACTTGACCTTTCTAGGTACCCCAAACTCTAGAAACTATTAAAAGAATCGTAACTCATATTTTTCGTCCGACGTGAGGTATAAAGGGACAATAAAAAGAAACATGATTTTTTGATGTGAAGCAGCTCTTCGATTCACGTGTGTAACGCCGTACGTACGTGCATCTGTACGAATGCGCCGCAACGCGTTCTCCTCGCCGCTGCTTTTGGAGCGGTGCCAAGCAGGTCACGCCACAGCTTCGCGTTGACGTCACGCTCCTCTCACATGCTTCCCTCGCAGGTACGCGCTGACGTCCCTCTCTCCCTCAGCCGCAGCACGCTCACCGCAGCACCCGCAGCTGCCACTTCGACGTCGCGTGCCTGCAGGAACCTCTCAGCGTGCACTTCACCGATCACGAGGATCACCGATCAAGGCGAAACGCGCGCCTGCTCCGGTACAGCGCCCGTGTCTCGCTCTGAAGGGACCACGACTACAAAGTCTTGCCAAGCGATTCAATGAAACTAACACGAAACCCATCCCGCTTCCCTTGTCTTTGCGCTTCAATACAAACGTTTGTTTGA